TTAAACGTGCTGCTGTTGTTCAGCCGCTGGTTTCCTCTTTCTGGCGGGAAGTGGGCCAAAAACAAAGAAGAGAGACAGACTCCCGACAGAAAAGCCGATCAGCTGATCATGTTAGAATGCCTGGGTCGTTGACCCAGGGTTTTTGAGTTATTTATCATTTCTAGTCTTTGGTTTCTTTGTTAGAGTTCTGTCTTATGGTTTATGTCTCTGTGTTCTCTAGTTGCTCTGTCTCCCCTGTCAGCTGTATCCCCTTGTCAAGTTAGCGTCTCTGTGTTATATTTCCTGTTTTACTTTGAAAGTCTGTCTCATGTAAATGCGTCTGGTTTTGCTTCCTTTGTCTCGTTAGGCCTGATTTGCCCCAGCTGTGTTTCCCTCCTGTTACCCATTCCCTGATTGCTCCCTCTGTGTATTTAAGCCCTGTGTTTCTCTGTGTCTGTGTCGTGATCTACCCTCATCTTGCTGTGTGTTCTGTCGGCACAAGCTTATTGTGTATGTCTAGTTTTGTTACCCTTTTGAGTTTAGCATTAAAGCTGTGTTTTGAGTTACTTTCTGTCTCTGGAGTCTGCACTTTGGGTCCTTTTCCTGCCTGCACACAGCCGTTCATGACAGATCATTGATCAGTTTCACGATTGAAGTAGCAGCAAGAAGAACAGTCGCTCCATATATCGGTTGTTAAGCTTAATGTGGGAATGCTTTACACTCAGAGATGAACTTCCATCTCTGAATGTAAGCAAGTGTGTGTGTAGATGTGGATGTGGCAGAGTGTAGCTAATTGTCTCTCTGTGTTAGCTCTGTAAAGGACTGGCCACAGTTCCAGGGTGAATCCAGGCCTGTGACAGCTGAGAAAGGCTCAAGTCGCTCAATTCAAACTTCTCTCAATCACGCTGATCCAATAATTTTCTTGTGTGCCTTCTGAGAGCCAATCTGACTCTGTTCCCTGTGTTTTAAATCTCAGTGCTATTCTGTTATTCCACTTTTCAGACTCTCATTTGTGTGACCCACCTTCTCCCCATCTCCACCTAATCCCTCAGAGAACCTCATCAGTGTCTCCAGCTGTATCTCCAACTTAACCAGCATCTAGACTCGGGGTTCCTGTCCTACTTGGTTGCATTTTTGAAACTTTGTTCTGCTATGTTGCTTATCTGGGTCCAATTACATAATAGCTTATTATACAAGCTGTGCTTTATTAAATTTGTTGTATTCTTCCACATCACCTCAACTTTTTCTAACACACTTATAAACTATACTATGTATCAGCACTATCTAAACAGTCATTTCTAAAACTAATTGTTTCTTTTTTAAGTTTATGTCATTTATGTTTTTGTAAGCGTATGTCTATGTGCACTTACCTTGCTCTAGAACCTTTTATGGCATAGCAACACTAAACCTTGACCTCACTCAGCACTGTTTACCAAAATAGCGGTAGGGTTGTCGTCACCTTTACAACATTTTTATGCTAGTCCAACCCATTTCATGCCTTGATGCCCCGCTGTCCTCTTTCTCCTCCCACTGCTGAGGTTACCTGGTCAGGTGGTCATAGCAAAAGGGATAAATACCTAAACCCAAAGCTCTATTTTGAGAACAAGACAAAAACTACAGCTTGCGCTCGCATTCAAACAGTCGCTTAAGCTGTGCTTCCACCAAAAGGCTTAACAGCAGTTACTGCTCATCATTCATTCTTCAACTCATCAAAGAGAAAAAGAGTTTTAGCAACAGGAGAGCAGCCGAGAGGTTGCTATTAAAGGATCAGCTATGCTTGGAGGCATACGTACAGATTTGGTGGTCACAGTGGCTGTTCTCTTTCTAACTCAGACAGGGACTCAGTGCAGGTGAGATTCAAGATCATTTTATTTTTTTTAGTTTATCTGTGATTAATAATATTTTAGTTTAGTTTATTTAAATTAAAACAAAGGAAGTTTTTAGTCAAGTTTTTAACTCAGTCCTTTATTTTGTTACATTGGTTATTCGTCATTGATTTCCTATTTCAGAGCTGAAAATGACTTCCTATTAGTTACTTTACCGGAGTGGAGGGCACATTCAGGTACGATGTAGCGCAGTTATTAAGACCTTTAAGAATTTCATAATTACCTGACCTGCTTTAGATAAGAACTCAAATCAAACATGTTGTACATAATGATGTATTTCACTTTTTGTTTCCTTTAGAATACGTTATACAGTGTTTTGATGACAGACATGCCAATCTGAACTGTGAGTGGCCGGCGAGTGAAAAAGGAGCAGGTGAAGACAATTATATTTAATAGAAAACAGTAGCCTGAACTGAAAACTAAACGTGTGCTTTTTGAAGTCATCAAGCCAATTTACAGTTCTGGGTTCACTCTGGCTCTGAGAGATAAGTTGAATGAATTAATTAACCTTTAATTTTGTCCCAACCTTTGGCAAAATATCTGGAACATCCATCCACAGTTCTGTTTTAATCTACACACAGGCTATGATTGTATTCGTGTCTCACCACATTATCACAAATTGATCTGAAATAGGCTATATTCTTTTACAACCTGGTGTTTTCCTGGGAGCGCTCAAACAGAGAGCCTACACATGAGATTCAAATTTAGTAGCTACAGCAACACAAACAGACATCTTCTACAGCTACAGCTATTTCACAGCAGATGTTCAGTACAAGGCAGTACTTGTTTAATTACAAGAACAAAGATGAAGAGCTGTTTCTGTTAAATATATATTATCAGCATATATCAGCATTTAAAATACGTAGCGTATTAAGTTTTCTTTTTTGTCTTTTTCTCCTCCAGGGGATTTTGCAGTGAATGTTTCAGAGAGTGGTCCACTAGGGATTGAGGGCCAGGCTTGTCTAGAGTTCTGGTACCTTGTCCCAGTTGCCGCTAATGGGTCTGAACTTCGTGTCTTGCTAAAAAACAGCGTTGGTTCAGTAGAAATCTGGACCTCTCCTGCTCTCCCTCAGAATGCATGGAGGCAAGCGTTTGTGCCCCTGAACATCACTGAGTCCAGGACTCGGGTAAAATAAAACATAGCAGCACACATTAGAACTGTACTGTCATAATATAAATATTCTATAGCATGTCCTTAAATAAATTACCTTTTTTATATATTAGGTTGTGTTTGAAGTGGTTCAAGGATTGTCCATAGAGAAAGAGATCACATTTAAAAAGATAGGTGTAAGAAAAGGCTCCTGTGGTAAGTATTTACCAAATTAAACTTCTCAACAACAGCTCTAGTGCCACAAATCAATTAAAAGGTTGAACTGTATTCATAATAACCTTTGTGCGGTACATAAAAACAGAAGACGTGTCTTAAGAATTGTCACAAAGACATTTTTTGATGAGGATGTTTTAGAAAATATTCTGAACTACAGTATTAAAACCGAATACAGTTTTTTAATGTTATCAATCCTACATAGGTGTCGATAAGCTGTTAATATGGTCACCCCAACAGGACGACAGTGTGAATCGAACGCAGAGTTATGGACAGATGAGACCACCCGCTGCCTCTGTTCTGCTGGCCAGCTCTCCTGCTTTCCCTCTCACTGCCCTGAAGGCCAACTCTGTGGTCCTCAAAGAAGAGGCCCCAATGGGACTTCTACCTTTGGGATGTGCACTATACACAGTCGAACAGACGGCAGCACTTTTGATGGAGTATTGTTCCGCTTCACGACCGCCTGCACTTATGTTCTGGCTAAGACCTGCCCACCCACTGAAACCCTACCCATGTTCACTGTGGAAGTGGTCAATGAGCAGAATGATAACACATCTCTGCCAGAGGTCCAGAAGATCAATATTAACATGAGGATTTACAGGGTGTCTCTGCTGAAAAGCCAAACAGACCGGGTTGTGGTGAGTTACTTATATGTATGGAAGACATTTATGGCACAGTTAATTACTAATTATCCCAGCCTTCAAACACTGAAGAGTACATTTCTGACACATACATATGAAGACAATTTGAGTATTCTACATTGCTAAGGAAGTCAGTATTTTGTAAACAAAGCCACTGTCAACTACTAAATGAATATCGTGTTTGCTAACAGCTATTTTCCTAATAAAAATATAGTATTATGTATTCACATTTTCTGTTTTATACTGCTCTGTAAACTTCATAATCCATAACTACTGTTCATACAACTGCACTTCCTTTTGCCTTGCCATTATGAAGTAATGACCACTGAGCCAAGTAAAGCTCCAAATCCAGCGATTCCCATAAATGCATAAAGGACAGATTTTATTGCCACTGGCAAAGGACTAATAGGTCATATTGGCCTTTATAGGCACAGCTATCTTCTAAATGCCTTCTTTTATATAAACTTTCAAATGCAATAAGTCCATATTGTGTATGGCAACTGGTAAAAAAAAAAAAAAGGCTAAACTAACACTGTTTTTCAGATTAATGGGATCTGGAGAAAGCTTCCACTAAGCCTTAACAGCGACACTGTCAACATCAGGAGCACCCCTACCACTATTGTGCTGGCAACCACTTTTGGTCTTACAGTCTCATTTGACAGTACTGGTGTGGTCCACGTCACCCTCCCATCAACCTATTCTGATAAAGTCTGTGGCATGTGTGGCAACTTTAACCACCTCAAAGAAGATGACTTTAGGAACCTCGATGCACAAACCGCAACAGCTTTGGCTGAAAGCTGGCAGACTGGGAAAACTGCCTCTTCCTGTGAAACCATTCTATTCCCTCAGTGTGACCCACTGGAGGAGGCAGAGTATGCCAGCGAGCTGTACTGTGGAGGCTTATTCTCTACTACTGGTCCCTTTGCTGACTGCTTATCAGTTGTAGGGGCAGACAGCTATATCAGAGGCTGCGTGTTTGACATGTGTTCTACTCATGGTGACCAAGCCGTGCTATGTGAGACGCTACAGGTCTATATTGATATCTGCAATAAAGCTGGCATTGCAGTACCCACGTTGAGGAACTCCACAATCTGCCGTATGTTGCGTTATTAAATCCTGCTTTTGTTTTGTTCCTCCTTTTCAAAATAGAGCGCACAGTGGCAAATAATAACTGATAACAGTTAAGGTCATGAACTCTTTCCTGTCTTTTTCTCGGATCCCCTCAGCCATACAGTGCGGTGAGAACAGCCACTATAACTCGTGTGCTGATGGCTGTCCCGAGGTGTGCTCCAGCCTGGATATAGCTGGCTCCTGTGGAAGCTGTGAGGCAAGATGTGAATGTGATTCTGGCTTCAAACTCAGTGGGGAAAAGTGTGTCCCAGCAGAAGACTGCGGGTGCTGGTATAATGGAAAACACTATGAGGTAAGTGAGGTAAATGAACACAACACAATTTCTTATTCACATATTCAATTTCACAGTAATTTATTCACACAACTCTGTTCTGCCTGCAGAAAGGAGAAACACTGGTGGAAGGAGATTGTGTGCAACAGTGTCAGTGTATGGGTAATAACAATATGCAGTGCACTCAAATGCAATGTGCAGACAATGAAGTCTGTAAGGTTAAAGATGGGGTCAAAGGCTGCTTCCTTTTCAAACCCACCACCTGCAGTGTGTACGGTGATCCACACTACATCACCTTTGATGGTCTGGCATATGACTTTCAAGGGGGATGCAGTTACATATTGACCACCACATGTGGTGGAGGAAGCTCAGTCCAGTTCACAGTATCTGGACACAACACCCATCCCCACCTTCAGAACTTCACCAGATCCAAGCTTCAAGCCGTGGCTCTCCAAGTCGAGGATCTGTATCTCATCTTGAATCAAAGCGGAGAGGTCTATGTAAGAAAGCAATTCTCTCTTTAACACCACTGAAAACATTTCTTCCCCTTTAAATTCGACAGGGCTGTTTTCAAGAACAGTGATCTGGGATTATTTACAGCTTACATTTTACTGCACAAGGACTTCTTTTGTTCTGCATTATCTCCTGTAATTCATTAATCACAGTGGCAGGTGACTTTCACGTTTTTAGAGGTCAGTTACTGTTGTGTCAGATCGTTAGAGGAAGTCAGCTGTTTACAACCTGGAACTTAAGCAAGCTAAACGGCTATACTTTAGTTAGTTAGTAGGTCACTGGTAGCACTAACCTAACTAACTATTTCAAGAAAATATTATTTCTACTGTATGTAAAACAACATGCAAAATAAGTTCAATTATTAAAAGACTGTCCTTTCTTTAGGTCAGTTATAAGCAAGTCCAACTGCCGTATTCCACCAGCGGGACATATGGCTCAGTATGGGTGTATGTGAAGAATAATCATATCATCTTGGAGACAACTTTTGGCCTCAAAATGCAGATAGATGGAGAGAACAGACTGTTTCTGCAGGTGGATGAGCACTACAAATATGAACTGTGTGGACTGTGTGGTACTTATTCTGGATACCAGGACGATGACTTTGTAACTCCAGGAGGCCAAAACGTGTCAGAAGCGTTCGAGTTTGGTGACAGCTGGAGGGTCCCAAACAACTCTGAGTGAGTTATTTTAATACTGTACACAGTAACAGCAAACATTTGGGTACCAGTATGGCACTTCTGTACCTAAATATACCAGCATAGTATTGAAAAAAACAAAAGCTAGTCAAATGACTGCATTTTTTAGCACCAGCAGAGTGGCAGTGGTTTCACTCCAATGAGCCTGAATTGTGCTTTTTCTTTCATACTAATAATCAACATAACATGTTTAGTAAAATCAGTGAACATCACCTGCTAAGCCTGAGCATGCCAGCATTGTTGTTGTATGTTAGTAATCTAAGCAGGTTCTGAGTGTCTTTGTGGCGGGGTGGGGGTTATTACATTACATTCACAACATAATAACCCAACCTGCTATCACGGCAAATCATGAAATAGACACACATGCAGGATTTGCAGTTCAGTCACAACAGAGGGAGGTATTTTATTTCAAGCCAACATCTAAAAATCTGCTCAGCTTGTCAGACAACTGCAGGGAGCACGTATTTCTTCAGAAACTGCTGACTTTAAATAATTAAATTACGTATTATGTAAACGTTCCATGTAAAATGTTGAAATGAATCTGGTCAAATTAAATTTACTTGATTTGTATATATTCAATTTATACAAAGCACGTTTTCCTTGAAGATTAAATAAATAAACCTTTGGTTTTATATGTTTCAGCTTCTTCATGGTCGCATCATGCATATTAAGGGTGAAAAGTTGTTTTTTTGAGTGAATACAACCTGGTGCCTTGGCTAGCCAATGTGCTAAGCTCACACACACTAGCATATATTTTTCTTTATGCATCGTAATTTATTTAAAATTACATCAACATGTTTTACACAGTATCAGGGGCGTAATTTCTAGGGGGGTTATGTCCCAATAACCAGACCCAGCTAATATACCCCCCAATAAAATTATGAATTATCTTGCATAGATAGGCTGTTGAAGTAACTAATCTCTGTTTATCTAAATTTTCTCAGATGTTTAGCTCGTCCAAACAATCCAAGACTCTGTGACAAGGATGAGAAGGATACAGCCTACAATGAGTGTTCAGTGCTGTTTGGCAGTGGTTTCATGCCCTGTCATGAACACATTCACCCAAGCATCTACCTCAATAGTTGTGTGTATGACTACTGTGCTACAAGCGGCGACCAACACACACTCTGTGAATCTCTGAAGTCCTATGCAACAGCATGCCAGGTTTCAGGAGTTGAACTTCCAAACTGGCAGACTGGCACAGCCTGTGGTGGGTATTTGCATCAAATATGAGGATGACATTGTTATTATCATACAAGTAAATATACAGTAGGATGTCTAGATAGGTTGTGTTAACTGTGTGTGTTTTCATCCAATTTCAGAAGGCCTTTCTCCCTCAACAGCTCCTCCAACAACTGCTTCTCCAACACCAGATCAAACTTGTAAGAGCATTCACAGTTTAAAAAGTTTATTGTGGACTGGTTTGAATAAGTGAAGTGATACAGTTTACAAATAACAATTTCAAAACAAATATTAGTTTAGCTAATAAGCTTGCTTGCTTTATATGTGCCAATATTTAATAGAAGTGTAAATATATTTTAGTTCTTTTGCTGATCTGAGGTATAACTTTCGACACATTAGATGGGATATTAAAGTTTTTTCAAAGTTTAAAAGCACTGTATCTCAGAAATTATTATTAACTCGTAAATCAGCATTTCCATTGTTTGTTTGTTTCATCCATTATTTACATTTTGCTTTCTATAGTTTGTCCCTTGAACTGCAATTTTGAAAAAGATCTGTGTGGGTGGGAGCAGCTTATGCAGGACACTTTTGATTGGACAAAACACTCTGGACCCACACCAACAAATTTAACAGGTCCAAACCAAGACCACACCACTGGAGGTAAAACCAGTCTGTTACTTCTGTTGTTTTTCCTTTTTAGAGGTTGGGGTCTATTTTGGTTGGTTTCATAACATTGTTCATACTTAATGTGTAATTTTCAACTTTTCCATAGCTGGTTTCTACATGTACCTTGAGGGAGACAGTGTAACTCGTGGAGACTCTGCCCGTTTGATGAGCTCGGCGTGTAATTTTAACGGACCACTCTGCCTGTATTTCTGGTACCATATGTATGGTTCAGCCACAGCCATGGCTCTTAATATCTACCTGCTGAAAGACAGTAAAGCAACAAAGCTCTGGTCCATGATGGACAACCAGGGACCAGAATGGCATCTGGGAAGAGCTGATGTCAAAGTCTCTGGTCCATTCCAAGTGAGTTTGACAATACATGAACATAAGAAATGTATGAAGGGCTTGCTGGAAATCAAGACTCGATATTCTAATTTAGAATTCTATTTTCTTCTTATGCCTTTCAGATTATAATAGAAGGAATTCGAGGCTCTAATTATCAGTCAGATGTGGCCATAGATGACATATCTGTCCATTTTGGCTCATGTTCAGGTAACAAAGGCAAAGCAAACTGTAGGTGCTTAATAAATATGGAACTATGCAATACTGTTGTAAACAGTTTGGAAAGTAAATCATTTAAGATATAAACTTCTTTAGCATAACTGATGTGACAGAGTTTACCAAAGGTCAGTGTTGTTTTTATTTAGGTAGCTTTCCAGCCCTGGGAAGTGGAACTAAGCCTTCTACTACAACTACAGAAATGCTCCCCTTACACCAAAGTAAATACACAGGAAGTTATATTTTACAAGCCATGTGTTTCTGCATCATAAAACCTTATGATAAGTTAAAAATTAACATTGACATCTTGTTCATGCACTGAGTGTGCAGATTCTAATGGTAACTAGGGTTCACTTTTAGGAAGTTTAGCAAATATCTCGTGACTCATGCTATTTTCTTTTCTCCAAATGTTTCCCTTTAGTCTGCAATCTTGACTGTAACTTTGACAGCAACCTTTGTAGCTGGAACCAGATGATTACAGATGCTTTTGACTGGACCTGGCAAAGAGGTTCTACCCCCACTTTAATGACGGGCCCCTCTGCTGACCACACTGGTGGTAAGATTTGATGTAAAATTTACACTGACAGTTAATAAAACCATAATACATCTAAAGGTATGATATAACGGTGGAGTTATTCTTTAGATTATTATATCTTTAATGTTTTCAATCACCTTTTCTAGATGGCCACTATCTTTACATTGAAGCCAACAGTGCATCGTATGGAGACACAGCTCGTCTCATCAGCTCTGAGTGCTCTGACTCTGGACCTCAGTGTCTGCAGTTCTGGTACCATATGTATGG